TGTCTTTCGAAAACTTGCTAGGTTCGCTCAGATGTACAGGCTTCTTCATGATGTTTTCCCTCACCGTAAGACAAGTGATAATCATATTGGAAATGATTCGCAAATGAAAATATCTGAGGTGCGAGACCCAGGATTTGAAACCGCTTCACTTGGTTTCCCAAGCGCGTGCGTTACCACTGAGCTACTACTGTCTTATTCAAAATGTTAATGTTATTTTGTACCTACTGTATATTTTAAATAGTTACCGTCTGCTCGCTGACAGAGTGATTCATATTAGAATTAATTAGAATTACCTACTATATCAATCTTTTAGTAAATTTGATTATTATAATAAATTCAGTGATTCAGCATTTTCTTATATTCTATCGCTTTATTATTAGATATTAAAATTTGTAATTCTTTAATATTTTAATAAAAAAGTTAATGAAAAAGGACTATAGTTTTATTCTAAAGATATACTCAGGACTAAAGCATATTTTTATATTCAATGAAAAATATTTAATTTGACCATCCATATCATGACCATGTATATAAAGATCTGTCTGACTGTCCGACTATCTGTCTCTCTGTCTATCTGGGAACGCATCCCGAGAAAACCACTGTACAGATTTTGATGAAATTTGGTATGATGATAGCTGGTTATCATCAACATATAGGATACTTTTTACTGCGGGAACATATCTTATCTCTGAGAAATCTATATATAAACGTTAAGACGTAATATTATACGTAACCGTACGTACCCTATAATATTATAATTATATTATTTAGTACTAATATTGGAAGATAAGATAATAGAAGAATATTTTAATTAAGCATAACAGTTGTTTATCACAGGCTATAATTAAACATAAAAAACTAAAGAACGTTCAAGAAATAAGGTGTTATATATTTTGTTACGATTGGATTATTATAATAAAATATGTTTTTAATTAACAAATTCGAACAAAATGGATATAGATAGAGAGACGAATGCAAGAGTGATCCTATAAGAGTTTCATTTCAGATATGCTAACTACATAACCGGAAACACTAGACACTTTAAAAAAATCATAACTGTTTTATTTCAGTAACTAGGCCATGAATACAACAAACAACCTTTATTTTACTGGAACCAAATCTGCATATTTTATTTAAAACCAAAAGAAATATGTTAATTTTAGTGAATTATTCAAGCCGATACTCCTATACTTTTGCTTGCAATTCTTCTTTTTTTTACTGGGACTATTATGGACGACACAATAGGTATTCCCCTGATGAGTTTACTTTGAACATTAAGCAACATGGATGTGACGTTTTAAAAAAAATGTAGATGTAAATCAAAATCAAAAAATCCACACAAATATCATAAATGACGAAGTAACTTCTGTGCGTCTGTCTGTCTGTTACTTTTTCACGCTGAATCTGCTGAACCGATTTAGATGAAATTTTAATATGTAGATACTTTGAGACACTGGGAAGGACATAGGATATTTTTAATCCCGGAAATCATCGCTTAAAGGGGCGAAAAGAGGGGTGGAATTTTTGTATGGGTAATCAATGATTTCTCAAGTAAGGGATATACATCTCATCATACCTATATATTATACATATAGTCTATCTATTCCATACTAAGCGTTAACCGTACCTATTAAATAACCAAAGTTGCTTGGAGAATGCTTTAGATATACCTTATGTGAATTATAATTATATATTTTTTATATGAGGGTGTTGTTTTTTTGGATGGTTTTTTATTTTTTCTTACAGCACCCAAAGTGTGTAACAAAATATAATTTACGTCAGAAAATAGACATAGACTTACATTCAGTAGTACATAGAATTACAAGACAAGAACAAAATCAACCATCTTGATCGGCAGATCGTTAACGTAAAATTAATTACTTACGTTAGTTTATTGAGATTAAAAGGTTTATTGTTTTTCTTCTCAGTTTTCTTTTCTTTGGATAAATCGTTTATTAAAAAGATTCTATATTATTACTTTTTGGGGGCTTAGGACGGAGGAGGTTTTGTTGGGTTTTAGTGGGTAGTGCTGGCTTTTCTAGCCGGTGTGTCCAACAAAAATATCTATCTATACACGGTATGCGTAAATGCATTTCTCAAAGGTAAAAAAGGAACATAGTATTATGCAGACATACTCGTACATACATATTTTATTTTTGTTGCGAATCTTAAGTCAGTCGCTAGTCCATATCCACAAAAATCCATATTAATGTATAATGAATATCCATATATATATATATATATATATATATATATATATATATATATATATATATATATATATATATATATATATATATAATATATATATATAAATGAGAAAATATGTGAGGATAGATGGATGGATGCTTGTTATTCTTTCACACCAGTACGGCTGAACCGATCTATTCATATACCGATCTACTTTTTGTCCCCGAAAAATGTACGGTTCCCGTGGGATAGATTTATTTTTTCTAGTCTATCTATATTCTATGAAATATGAAAATATAATTAAAAAACACCCTATCCAATTTTCTTACTCCATCCATCCAACTTAAAACCATTCATTAAGTCTGCAACAGTTTAATTCTAGTCAGAAGTTAATGAGACGTCCTCCATCGCAGTTTTTAATTTTATACTCCCATTTCCTTTACGGTCGTTTATTTTGCCTACCTTTATTAGATAACCTTGTCTATTATAGCGGGATAATTACACTGTTTTTATTACAGGAACAAAATGAGTGACAGGAAAAATGACGGGTTAGTTTCACGCTCTGTTGTTTTTTACAGAGGGTTTACACAAGATTACTGTCTACAATAGTTATCGCTTATAGAAAACTAAAAATATATAGAAATAATATATTCCAAAAACGTGAAAGAATTTTAAGATATTTTATTAATTATTATTAATCAATTAAGTATCAAGAGTTGCAGCTTGCTTTTTGATCTATGTATACCCATAATACAAAGCATGTTTATAGTTTAAAATACTTAAACGACATGGTGGGCGGTATGGTACCATGAAGTAGATGATGAAAACATCAGGGACAAATTAAAATTAGTTAAATTGAATGTTAATATACTTATTTATATCCCTCTTGCAGTTTGCTATTTCCTACACCTAAAGTCTGCCTGGAAGAGATCGCTGTTTTAGCGATAAGGCCGCCCATTGTACATTTCTATTCTGTATTTATTTATTTTCTTTTGTTCTTGGTGTACAATAAAAGTTTATTATTATTATATATAGTATTACATGAAAAAGGTATATTATTGTTTAAAAAAATATTTTTTTCTATATTTAATACATATAAATTAAAAAAATATATACATACAAACGAACACAGAGCCTCCTTCTTTATGGAAGTCGGTTAAAAAAATAGACTTCTACAGTTTGCAGATCAACGCCGTCTATCGTCCAAATAAGAAAACATAAATAGTTCGAATAAGAACTGTCCAATTTCCTTTTATGAAATAGAGCATCTGTACTAGTATAGTATTGTGTAATGTATGGCATTAATAATATAATATAACACGAGGCCAAAACCGTAGGCAGAAACTAAACCATTAAATATATCTGGTTAGAATGAGGGGGTGTAACTCAGTGGTAGAGTGTCTGCTTCGCATGCTGAAAGTCCTGGGTTCAAATCCCAGCACCTCCAAAATATTTTATATTTTTAACTTAAAATTATTTTCACGTTTATATTTTTCGAACAGCTTTCTAATCATTATTTTTTTGTAACTCACTATTTTAAATTATACATCTTTAAATCCTTTAGAATTTTATCATCTGTATCTGTATAAAAAAAGATTTTATTTGTCCAAATTATAGCCTTTGATATAATATTTTTTTTGGATTAATAGAATTATTGGAATAAAACTTTTATGCTTGAAATATTTATGTATTCGTCTAGACCGCGGACTTAAATATTTTTTATAATTAAATATTATAAAATAAAATCCTTCGCCGCGTCTGTCTGTCTATCTGTCTGAACACAATAAACTCAAAAACAGCAAACGGATTTTCATACGGTTTTCACCAATAGATAAAGTGATTCATGAGGAAGGTGTAGGTGTACAATTCCTTAAGGTTTTGTGTAAATTTGCTGAAATATGCCGATCAGGGGCGGATCTACTTAAAGGCTTTTTGGGCTGCAGCCCAGGGCCCCGCGAATACAGAGGGCCCCCAACCGAACTGAAACCAATAGACGATATTGTCAATAATAAAAATTATCTAGAATTTTAAAAAATCCGATCATGAGGTTGGCAACACTGCGATCAATCAACCCGAGTGCGCATCTATCAAATGGAACGGGGAATTCCCTGTCGCTTGTTTTCAGTCGGTGTATTCCGTGTATAGTAGTGTCTATTACTGGGGACTTCCCTCCGCTTATCGCCCGACGCAATTTTGTTATTTTTCCGCACTTCTGCTATAGTCGACTATATTAACGAATTGACTTTGTTATTGTTAGAAATGTGTTTAGTGCGTGTGTTTAGTTTACTAAGTAATAGATAACTTAAAAGTTATAAGGACCGGACCTTTCTTTTAATTTACTAAAATTGAAAGTCTTCAGCATAACTAGACTTCCTGCTTTTAATAGGCAGTAGGTAAGTAAAAAGAATTATAAAACATGACTTTTTATTTCAGTTTTCAAAACTAAATGAATCAAACTCGTTCGATATTTAATTATAATTTGTGAATTGCTACACTCATTACAAAGTAGGTATTAAAATTAAAAGTTCTATCCAGTTCTTTGTTTATTTTCAGAAAAATATCTTATTTTACAATATGTCTGCTAGAAAATATAAAAGTGGAGCTGAAAAAAGAAAATTACAGTTTAGTCGAGAACAAGAAAGAAATAAATGCGCAAAAATTGAAACTTTTTTAAATCGGAACATATAAACGCGAATGAAATAGCTATAAATCCATTAAAAAACGTAAAGGAAGGTATTTTATGCGAAGAGAATCTAACCGATGGCAGCAAAAAATCGCAAAACGAGGAAAAAAATACAAGTGATGAAAATATGCAAGATTTCGAAAACCAGAAAAAAAATACCAACGATGAAAATGTGCAATATCTTGACTTCCAGCAACCCTCTGGTTCCTCTGAAAATGAAATTGGTGTTCAGCAAAAGGGAGGTAATACCGATACCGAGGTGGAAAGAAATTTAGAAAATATTAAGTTTGAGTTTGAGAAATATGTTGACGTGGGCTTGTGGCCAGATTTGCTGAATAATGATTTTATTAATTTCGTCCTCTCACATGAAATGACTGACTTTCAAAATAAAGATCCGAAGAATATATATTCAGCTTCAATGAAGAAATATAAAGAACAAAATAGATCTTTTTCAAATAGGTATTTCACTAGAAAAATGAAAAATGGCCAATTACTGGAAAGATCTTGGTTATGTTATTCAAAAAGAGTTGGTACTGTTTTTTGTTTGACTTGCAAACTTTTTTCTAAAACTCCTTCTCAATACACAACCGGATTTTCTGATTGGAAACACATAGGATTTTGTTTAGAAAATCACGAAAATTCTAATGAACATAAGAATTCAATGTTAGTGTGGTTGACACGAAAAGAAAATAAGTCTGTTTTAGACAAGCAGCTTCAGGAGCAATTAAATAAAGAAACAGAATATTATCACAATGTCCTAAAACGGGTTATTGCAGTGCTAAAATTTCTGAGTATAAGAGGCTTAGCACTTAGAGGTTCCGAGGAAGTATTTGGTTCTCCACATAATGGTAATTTTATGGGTGCTCTAGAGCTATTGGCAGAATTCGACCCATTCATACGTGAACATATTGAACAACGAGAGCTGCGACCAAACCCTGTAATATCATATTTATCAAAAACAGTATATGAGGAAATAATTGAGATTATGGGTAAACAGATAATTAAACAAATTATAACTGAAATAAATAACGACGACACAAAGTATTATTCAATTATGATGGATTCAACCCCAGATCTGTCTCACGATGACCAACTTGCTATTGTATTACGATACTGTTTTCGGGGAAAAGTGTATGAAAGATGTGTATCTTTCATTAAAATTAGTAGTCATACTGGCTTATATTTATTTAATATTCTACAAGCCTTTTTGGAAACAAATGGACTACTACTGGATAATTGCAGGGGACAGTCATATGACAACGCTGCTAATATGGCCGGAGTCTACAATGGTGTACAAGCACTACTAAAAGAAAAAAATAAATCCGCGGATTACGTGCCATGTGCTGCGCATTCCCTTAACCTAGTTGGTCAAGAATCCGTGAAGGTTGCAACCGAAATTGTACATTTTTTTGGAATAGTGCAACAAATATACGTTTTCTTCTCTGCTTCGACCCATAGGTGGGAACTGTTAAATCGTGAAACAAAACTAAAATTTACGTTAAAAAGTTTAAGCCAGACCAGATGGTCTTGTCACTTTGATGCTGTCAGAGCTTTGAAAAGTAATTCTGATGGCATTATGAAAATTCTCAATAGTTTCGGCGAAAATGACGATGAAAAAGTTGATTTCCGAAAAGAGGCACGAAATTTATTTAATAAACTGGCGAAACTAGAAACTGCAATTTTGATTGTTTTTTGGGAAGAAATTTTGGAGAGATTTAATGTAGTTAATAAAAAAGTACAGAGCCCTGGTTTAGACATTGGTGAAGGCAATAAGTTAATTGTGTCATTAAAAGAGTTCGTGAAAAACATAAGGCAACAATCAGATCAGAAGCTAAAGGAATACGAAGAGAAAGCTAAAAAATTAAGTACTAGTGTGGGAACAGACTACAGTGACATAAATAAGAGACGCATTACTTTGAAATTTTCAGATAAATCTACAGATAAAGTCTCAGTGAACTGCGCAGAAAAATTTAAAAGAGACACGCTTAACGTTGCGTTGGATAAGATGATTATGGATTTAAATAATAGAAGCCAAGCCTATGAGACCTATAGGAAAAAATTTAAATTTTTAATGGATTTGCAAGACAAAAATCAAGAACACATAGATCTGGAAAGTGTACGTAATATTATTGATTATTATCCAAATGACGTAGACGAACATTTAGTGAATGAGTGCATTCAGTTGAAATCTTACTTACTGCAATCTAAGACAGAGTCTTACACCTCTTGCAGTGAAATTTTTTGGCAAATTTATGAAAAGAAACTCGTTGATGTTTTCCCAAACTGCTATACTATCTTAAAGATTTTTTTAACGATGCCGATCACTAGCTGTGAAGCGGAGCGTTCTTTCTCCAGGATGTCGTATATAGAAAACAAATACAGGACAACAATGTCGAACTATCGACTAAATCATTTATCAGTTCTTTCGATAAATTGCGATTTAACAAAGGACCTACAGTGCGATGACCAAATAAAAGAATTTGCAGCACAAAAATGCAGAAAGGTTGCTTTATAATTTATTTAACATAACCATTTATAACCCGTCAATTTATTTTGCAATAAATAATGTTTTAATAAATAAATAAAATATTTTGTTTTCCTATTTTCTTCCTGTACTTAACATATATTACATTACATATACCTACATCACTACAGAAAACAGTTTCTTGTCAAAATGGCAATTAGTTGAGTAATTAGGTAGGGCCCCTAAGCAGTATTAGCCCAGGGCCCCACAAATTCAAGATCCGCCTCTGATGCCGATGATTGTTGAAGGTGTCGGAAAAAATCGTGCTTTATTGGTGTGCGCCGTGTAAACTAATCAAGTAAAAACAATATAAAAACAATGAATAAATATAAAAATAAATGTAAAAACAATGTATTACAGAATTATTCCTCTTAAAAAGATCTTCCTATTAAACTGTAGCAACGGTATGTGCATGTGCCTAGAAAATAGGGTCGTCACTAGTCTATACATATAATAAAATTCTAAGTCGAATCTGTACATTAAATATTTTATGGGAAATCTTATTAAAGTAGACATTATTATCGATACAGAGGCCGAATCTATAGTTTTTAGAATTTTTGTCTGTCTGTCTGTCTGTTACCGCGTCATGGAAAAACCACTAGAGGGATTTTAATGAAATTTGGTATGGTGATAACTGGTTATCCGGGTCAACATATAGGATACTTTTTACCGCGGGAAAATGCCTCATTTCTGAGAAAAAACACAAAAACTGCATTGTAAGAGTATACTAATGTGTACGGAGCCGCGGGCAATGCTAGTGTATAATAAGTGTATAACACCATACCAGTGACAATATTTCTTCTATACTTTAATTCTGCCTACGCTGTATTGAAAAGTGGGAAGCTTAGTTATACATGAGAGCATATTACACTGTTCAAGAGTTTATTATACATGTGTAAAATTAAGATAAATGGACTTAAATACAGAATAGCTATATTATTTTGTATATACAACAGTGTAACTCGGCATTTGAATGAAAACGAAGACCATCTGTTAAGTTTTTCATCGGTTGCAACAGAACTGTATTTCGAACCCGTGGTATAGGCTTATGATATCTTATCATGTCTTTTTTAAATTAAGTTGGCAATCAAAAGTGCTTGTAAAATTTTAATTGAGTAAGGTAAGTTTTGATATTTATACCATTAAATTAAGTTATCATTCGGTAAGATTCATGTGACGTAGTCCCGCTGTTTCTTTCACCAGTTCTTCTGATGGTGACTGACCATAAGAAAAAATATAATATAATGCGAAATAGAAAAATTGAAATTTAAACTTTTGTAAAATAATATAAAAAGTTCGCCTGACACAAGCTTTTAGGACTTGGATAGCAAAACTTTCAAAATACACTTTAATTGTAACTAGAAAGCTTATTTTTTGGTTTAGATCCCATAATACTTAAAAACGTGAATGGGTAAAAGTTGCCAAATCTGTTGTTTGCTCTGCCAATAATGAAATTGCTATCTTTAGCCAAATTTCATTCATGCCTTAATATGTCACTAGTTTTTTAACTGTCTTAAATGAAAAAGTTTAAGAGATTTTATGGCGCATATGTGCGATTGGCACACAATAAATTGACAATGTAACTGAGGATATGTGTTTGCGTGAAAGATGTGTGAGTATAATAAGTTGTAACAAAAAAAAATAAAAACGGTCAAGTGCGAGTCGGACTCGCGCACGAAGAGTTCCGTACCATTATCTATAAAAGCGGCAAAAAAATCACGTTTGTTGTATGTGGGTCCCATAAATATTTGATTTATTTTGATTTAATTATTTATTTTTAAAGTGAATATGTAACTAAATATTCTGTGAATATTTCAAGTGTCTACCTGTTGCCTTTAACAATATCGAGCTAAAACGAGCAAAAAAATCACGTTGGTTGTATGGGAGCCCCCTTAAATATTTTTTTTTGTTTTTTAGTATTTGTTGTTATAGTGGCAACAGAAATTCATTGTCTGTAAAAATTTCAACTATCACGGTTCATGAGATACAGCGTGGTAACAGACGGACAGACAGACAGACGGCCGGACAGCGGAGTCTTAGTAATAGGGTCCCGTTTTACCCTTTGGGTACGTTACCCTAAAAAGAAACTCGGTTGACAAACAAAAGAGAAAATCTATACAGAAATCGAACCTGCACCACCTACTTACTCTATATATACATAATAAAAGTACACAAACATCACTGCAAAATAAATAAAAGTAATTTCACAAATCCCTATGTAATCTAATATTAACTTTATCCCGCATATTAAATATCGTCTCGTCCTAACAAGATTTTGATTCTGCAAATGTCTTTAAGATGAAACCTTAAAATTAAATATTTACATACAAAATAGAGATTTATTACTAAAGCTTATATGAAAATAATATCTGCCTTGTTCAGTGATAACGTAACAAAACAAAAGGTATGGAGACAATATTATATTATAATTTTTGAATTCGATTTGTTTGTTTTATTACTGAAAAATATTTATTTACGGTCTTAACTTTGATGGAAATCGAACCAGTAAAAGTGCAGTGCTCATAAGAAAAACACATTTTTTTTAATGTTTTTTCTGTCTGTTCCGCCTAATCTCGGAATAGGCTCGATTAATTCTGACGGGACTTTCACTAGGAGATAACTGATGTTAAAGGGAGTGACTTCGGCTATTTTTATTTTAGGAAAAAAGGTACGGTTTATTTATAAATTTTTTCAAGTCTAGCAAACCCGCTGAATCAATTTTAATGAAAGTTAGTATAAAGATGGATGGAACCTTTAAAAAGGACATAGGATACTTTTTGTGCCAAAAATTAAATTTTAAAGGGGTGAAATAGTTTTTAAAAATTTGTATAGGGAACAAATCATTTCTCAAGTTAAGGACAAAAAAATCATTAGGTATATTCTATAATTTTTGTAATAAATTAAAAAAATCGGCGCTTATGAACAAATAAGGTAAAATAGGGGATAATTTCAAGTTTTTAAAGTTACTTACCTACTTTTCTGTACCTATGTATACAGGTTGGAACAAATCGATGGGACATGGAAGAAAAGTACCTTAAATATTAAAATTATAAAGATTTACTCAAAGGAAACATTTCTTTATTTTTAAAAATAATAATAACTGCATTTAATTTTTTTGAAAAAGCTTACGTGACCCGGGAATCGAATCAAATAAAAATGCAAAAAAAGGGCACCGTCACTATTTTACCGAATTAATGGATATTTTACATACAAAATAGAGATTTATTACTAAAGCTTATATGAAAATAATATCTGCCTTGTTCAGTGATAACGTAACAAAACAAAAGGTATGGAGACAATATTATATTATAATTTTTGAATTCGATTTGTTTGTTTTATTACTGAAAAATATTTATTTACGGTCTTAACTTTGATGGAAATCGAACCAGTAAAATCTATACAAATAAATAAAATTGAAGTGTCCGTTTGTAATGTCAAATTAAAAGCTTTCTTACTAAATGCATGTGAAATTATATATGCAGTGCTCATAAGAAAAACACATTTATTTTAAGTTTTGTCAGTCTGTTCCGCCTAATCTCGGAATAGGCTCGATTAATTCTGACGGGACTTTCACTAGGAGATAGCTGATGTTAAAGGGAGTGACTTCGGCTATTTTTATTTTAGGAAAAAAGGTACGGTTTATTTATAAATTTTTTCAAGTCTAGCAAACCCGCTGAATCAATTTTGATGAAATTTAGTATAAATATGGATGGAACCTTTAAATAGGACATAGGATACTTTTTGTGCCAAAAATTAAATTTTAAAGGGGTGAAATAGTTTTTAAAAATTTGTATAGGGAACAAATCATTTCTCAAGTTAAGGACAAAAAAATCATTAGGTATATTCTATAATTTTTGTAATAAATTAAAAAAATCGGCGCTTATGAACAAATAAGGTAAAATAGGGGATAATTTCAAGTTTTTAAAGTTACTTACCTACTTTTCTGTACCTATGTATACAGGTTGGAACAAATCGATGGGACATGGAAGAAAAGTACCTTAAATATTAAAATTATAAAGATTTACTCAAAGGAAACATTTCTTTATTTTTAAAAATAATAATAACTGTATTTATTTTTTTAAAAAAAGCTTACGTGACCCGGGAATCGAATCAAATAAAAATGCAAAAACGACACCATCACTATTTTATCGAATTAATCGATAGGGTCTATCTATGGGAAGGATAAAATTTCTCGAATTTTCTATTGTAGAAAACGATGAAATCTTACAAATTATATATATCGACTCTAACATCGTAAAACAAACGGATAGGACATGGATGAAAAGTAGCTTCAACACTTAAAATATCAAGTTTCACTCAAAGGAAACATTATTTTCAAAGATAAGATTAACTGCATTTATTTATTTTTTAAAGAGTTGACCTGAATCGGTAATCTAATCAACTGAAAATGCAAAAATGTAGACCGTCACTATTTTATCGAATTAATCGATATTGAATAGAGTCTATGGTAAGGACGAAATGTCTTGAACGAAAATTGTATGTTACAATTAATGAACACGATACAATATTACAAATAGCACACATTAATCCTAACTAACATCAACACATCCGATTTGTTCAACCCTGTACATAGTCTACCTTTTCTATACTAACCGTTTCAACATAGGCTAGTTAATAATAAAAAGGAAGTTCGATCAATCTGTATATAGCCAATATAAGCAACATTATTGATTATTTAAGCAAACATAAGGTATTTATATACATAATCCGTCTGTCGGTCACTACCGAACCTTGTCACGAATTGATCTAATGAACGTATTTACATATTGGTCAAGCCCTTACGTGATGTGCGTGTTAAGATTTTATGTAAAAGGGACTTGTGTTATAAGTATTTAATTACGACTTCACTTGTTTTGATAACGTTATAATAATAATTATAATTGGCTTACCTTTGCTTCGCCTCGTGCGTTCCTAGGTGCCTAACAATCTACCTCTACACTACTATTATAAAGAGGAAAGATTTGTGT